TTTTTATTTGATTTTAGTACTTCATACTTATGTTAATATTTTTAATGGAAAAATCAGCAATTTTTCCTTAAAAGTTCTAATGGTTTTTAATAGCTATTATGTCATGTGACCCAATGACTCCTGAGGCCTGTACTACGAAGCTGGTTCAACCTAACCTGGATATGTTTGAGTTAGCCGGTTGGCCCAATCCAAAACATACGCACTCTGGCTAAGCTGTACTACGACGCTGGTTATCAAGTGGATCGCTCAAGCCAGCCGTGTCCTATCTAGTTAGGTGCGCGTTCACATGAAAGGGGTGGTATTTGGAGCATTCGACCAATCTCAAACACGGACAAGCGTACTGACAGCGCAGCGTCATACTTCCTGAATGAAAAGTGAACTTTAATATTAGTCAAATATGAAGAAGTTAAACTTTAAACATCCATGACTTAAACACTTTATCCAGGATAAAAGCCACATAGCTGCACCTGCAAGGTGAATACAGCTGGTAACAGAAAAAGTGTTTGAATGCGTACATTAACAGGTTTATGAAATCACTGCCCCGTCCAAGACACGAGTGGATCTGACTTTAATTAGGAGAATTTGACTCGAGTGTTTCGTCAACTTAATGTGTTGCTTAAAATAATACTTCTGCATACAGTATGTGACACTGTGAGTGTTGCACGGCCAGATACGGCTCAAGAAGCTGACTCAAATAAGGAAATATATGAGACATTATGATGTGATATGATATGAATGATAATGGGACACATCGACGTCTGCACTCACAGTGCCACGGACTGTACTTAATGTTACTCTGATCCGGTTACTTATGTCGTGGCAGATATTTTAGTAACCTTTCTTAACGCTAATATTATAATAGTTTGATTGCTCTGAAGATGGGAGGGGATATTCTATTAATTTTCACGTTCACACAGTCAGTTGATTTTTGCCGGCCGTCTTTCCTGCAACGGCAGTTTTTCTGTATTTCCTCTCTCCTGTAATATGACTTGATAGCTTTAAACTCCGCACACGGAGCTCTGATTGGTCAGCAGGCGGTGCTTTCACTGAGTTGATCTCTTAGCCTGCCACCTAACCTGCTCCGGAGCAGGTTTGCCGCTCAGCATAAGTTACCATGGAAATCTAGCCTGCTAAAAAGAGAACCAGCGTTGTAGGACCGGAAAGCCCGAGATTTCCCTGAAGTTAGCCGGCTAAGCGAAAATCCAGCTTCGTAGTACAGGCCTCAGATCAATGCAGCATCACATTACTACACATAACAAGTTGGACACACCTTTCTTTATTGGAATTTGTCCACCCCCAATGTTGAATGAATATTTTCATGGTAGTATTAGCAGAAACTATTGAAAAGCTATTTAAATGTTTATGTAAAATGTATTAATTACATATCAGTTATTAAAAAAAGGTGTGCCACATAGCATAATTGTATGATAATATGAGCAATTTAGCACAGAGTTTTGATGCCATCTCTGAGCTCAGCTGCTGATTCTACCCAGAAGAGGCTGACCCTGGTCAAGTGTTTGAGGCACTAAACAAAAATACAACATCTAAGAAAAATGTCTGTATGTATGGCAATGTGGAAAATCGTGCCAGCTGGATTTCTCAATGCCTTGGTATACTGTAATAATGGCCATGTCTGACCCTTCCAAACACACACACAGTGATCCTTCTCCTACCTTGCTGTCAAGCTTCTTCATGGTGACCAGGTCCAGGGATTTGAGTGAATGACCCGAGGGGGAGATAAAGTAGAGGCAAGCGTGGACACGCGAGTCGTGGTAGTTGTGGAGAGAGCGTTTAATTTTAAGCTCCTCCTGAAGATAACTCTCAAACTGCTTGTCGATGTAGTCCACCACCGGCTGATAGCTACAGGGAGACATTCAAAGTAGATCAGAAATGTGGGTTAATTGAAAACTATTGAACCCTTTGAGCGTCTGTCAATATTCCTCTCGCACACACTCCTCCTCCCACCTCTCCTGTTTATTCATCTGGTCCCCGAAGCCCACAGTGTTGACCACAGTGAGGCGTAGCCGGACGTTACTCTCCTGCAGGTCGTAGGTTTGGGCCCGCAGCTTCACTTGAGGCTCAAAGTGGGACGACTCAAAGTTCTCAAAGTTCGTGTTGAATAGAGTATCCATCAGGGTAGACTTCCCGATGCCGGTTTCACCTAGAGCAAGAAAAAGATAAGACGCAATTTTTTGTTATTCATCTTTGTGGTTGAGATCTAATTTACTAGTGTGTGATAGCACTTCGACTTCAAATAAACTGCTTTAAATTAAATGTTCCTAAAAATCTTATTGTCTACCAGTTTTTACAATGAAGGAGGTGTGTGTATTGTTTTTAGTATGTGTGTGTGCATGACAACGTACCGATGCAGAGAATATTGAAGCAGAAGCCCTGGCAGATAGACTTGTTGACAAGCTGGTCTGGGAGGCTGTCAAAGCCCACATGGCCAGCCAGGCCCAGGGGCCGGACTGCTTTCTCCTGAGGAAGAAATTACACAAATAGGCAGATTAATGTCAAGATACTGCAGCCATTTTCCCCCTCAAAAAAGGAACAAAATAATGACCCAGGGAAGTGCAACTTTTTAGGCACTGATCATTTGCAAGACGTAGTTCATCAGCTTCATAATTTAGAATGTTGGTTGTAGGGAAGCACAATAATGCAGATTCTAGCAATATGTCTTCACCTATCCATACCACATTATAGGTAATATACATTTGGAAATGCCCTAATGAAAGATCATTCAAATGAAATCACCAAATAATCCATGTGTAGGTTGATTGTTCAATATCTTACCATTTTAGCACGCAATACATATGAATCGTTCTAGGCAACTAATGTAAATACATATTCTAAACGTTTTAAGACTATTTTGTTTAATGATTGAATGATCAATTCAGCAGGGTTACACAACGAATTGGAGTTGTAGCTTGGTCCTAAGAGCTACACACGAACAAGATCACAGAACAGAAGACAAACAGTGGTAGCTGCAGTGCATTCCTGAATACTTTGTTTAGAATTTAATGTAAACAAACACATCAATGGTGATTTATTTGGGCAGATAATATGGGAATCTTAAACATAAAATAAAAAGGGTTCAGGAGGGGTTGTTCATTAGCTTTAAGCTCCAAGTATCTCCAGTGTAAACCCAGAGACCGCCTCTCTTCTCACCCACATCTTCCTCAAACTGCGTCGACCTCCTCTGACCTGAGCCAGTCTGAACTAGTCGGTTAAGCATAGGGCTGTAACACTGGCCTAGTTATAATGTGGTAAAAGTAGGTACAATTTAACGTTAAAACAATTCCCTATTATAAAACTTCCGACTTTTGATAACTCTATAGGGTCAACACCAAACCTTCGAACAACCGAAGTATCGACAGCATGTTTATTTACGTAATTCCAGTCAAACAAATACGAGATGAAGTGGCTATTATCGAGCAACATAGCATAAGTCTTACTACATACACTTAACTCTACCATTAAAACAGGACTAACCCCCCAATGGTGCGATATTAACAGTACCACAGGAATGTTTAACCGAGCTGCTAACAACTATGTTCATCAACTTTTCCCTGTGGGGAGGCTAGAGTAGTGTTAGCAACATAGCGTCATCAGCGGTGCAATTTGTTGAAGGAAGCAACACGGAACCCCTTAGAAAAGTTAAATAATTAAATTAAACAACCAAGCCTGATTTTCTGGTTGTTGGTGGACGTGAATTACAAATGTGCGGTTCTTTATTGTGAATCGGCCACTTGGAACAGCCGTGTAGGTATCGGGCTAGCGGGAGCTAACTTAATGATAGCCCCGGACACTCCCTACGAAACTGTCAAGAGCACCGACAACCAACCAAAAGGAAGAAAAATACTAACCGGCATCCGAGCAACATCCGATGAAGCCATTACAACTCTACCCAGTAGTTGGTAACCCTGATAAATTATGAAGTAATACAACAAAGCTAACTAAAGACAGACTTATTTGTTGGTACACTTATCAGGACCGCCTCACTGGGTCTACCGTCGTCGACAACTGGGCAGACTCCACTACTGAAAACACGATAGGAATGAGGTTAAAACTATAGTCTGTTCATTTGTTTCAAATCTCAATGTCCATAAATGATGGCAAAATGTCACAAAAAAGTAAACACTCTGCCCATATAAAGATATAAATCCACGTAAACGGTAAGAAAAAAATGCCAAACAATGTTAATTGAAAGCAGTTTACACCCACCCACCCCTTTTTTCTATAATGGTACAGCGCAACTGAATTTCCCCAGGATCTTAGATGGCATGTTGGGGACCATCAGATAAATCGTAAAGCCAACTCCAACGCAACAACTTCATCCAACCACTACTATTTAGATGTTGATACCTAGGTTTTAGATATTAGGTTTGACCTTAGAGAATTTACAATTAACTTATGGGACCTGCACCTTTTTCAAAAGCACAACAAATTACTTTAACTATCAAAATCGTGTTTGTTTTTATGCAACCCATCATGCCCGCATCACTTGTAGTCCTAAACATTCTATGGAAGGTTAATTGAAAATGTTAAACTCTTGTACTGTACTGCATTTGTAAAACTTCAAGCAACGAAAACTGTCAGATAAATATAGTTGTGTAAAAAATTACAATACCTCCGTCTAAAATGTAGTAGAGTAGAAGTAGAAAGTGGCATACAATTAAAATAAGCCTACTCTAGTAAAGTACATAATCTAGGTCTAATCAATAGTCAGTATGTCATCCAAAACGGGTCCTTCTTATACTTCCACTTCTTTGTCTTGCCAACACAGCTCAATCAAACCTAAAATCAAACCGCATATTCCAAAAATGACAGCTTTCATTACATGTTCGCTTATACTAGTATTGGAAGCCGGAATTAACGAGCTGCACTTGAACACAGCATCCGTTTTGCCTTGGTGTTTTGCTTCAGCTACGTGCGACCCCTATCTGCCATGGCTCGACACTCCCCGTGGAGGAGAGGAGAATAAGAAGAAGATGCTGTCATCCGTCGACACCTTCAGCCTGAGTGAATGACAGTAGCGTGAACATGCATTGTTTTTTAAACGTCTGTGAGTAACTTATTCAGTTACTCTATCTTTGCACTGCTCTGGTCGGGTCGTCCAGGAGGATGATGGCGTCCCAGCGCACAGATCAAGCCGTGCAGGAGTTCCTGATGGAGAGAGGAGGGAGGGTCCAACAGATGGAGCTGATCGATCATTTCCTATCAGCGTCGGGTCAAAATGACCAGTCAGAGGAAGAGGTGGATCGAGAGGTGCTGAAACGCATCGTGGACGGCGTGGGGGTTGTGAAAGTGGAAGACGGTGTGACATTTGTTTGTTTGAACCCTGAAGGCAGCGCGGAGTCTGTGATGCGTGCGGACACAGGCGACCACGATCACGCGGAGTGCAACGGGAATATCCGTGAGGCATTGGACAACAACTATGTCAACGGGAACCCTGACAACAGAGACCAAACAGGTGAGGGATAGGCACCTTGTCTTATTCTAAGCTATGGTATTGTTTTTGTCCATGATTCATTTATTTAAATATCACCTCTATATTCAAAATCCTATGTTTATTTATCGAACCAACAGTGTGTCTATTTCTTTATTTATGTATATGCTTAGATTGTATTGTCTGGCGTTGGCCCTCTGAACAACCCACTGTACTAGCTAAGACTGAAATGATCAAAATCAAATGATTAGATCCTTCAATTCTGACATTCTATTGAAAAATTCAAAAGTTTACAAGAATAGCCTGTAGGGTTTACAATGGGACGTTTGCTTTAGAGTTAATGCAGTTTTAAGATGTGGCCATAGAAAACTCTTAACACACAGAGCTTGATGATAATGACAAATGACAAAAAAGGCATAGGCACCATGTCCTTTTAAAATCTATGGTATTTTTTATCACAACTATATTTAAAATCCTTTGTTTGTTTATCGAACCAACACTGTGTCTATTTATTTATTTATTTGCTTTGATTGTATTGTATTGTCTGGCATTGGCCCTCTAATTACCCACTATAGTATTTTGTAGACAAATTATTTACTTTAATTCTGACACCTTTATGACAAAAAACACAATTTTACAATAACTGCTTGTGGCAACTTGAACACACAGAGCCAGATGATAATGACAAATGTCCAATGTTTCCACAGGAGCATCCACTTCATTGGCTGCCAGCCTGGACAATGACAAACAGTCAAATGGCAAGGGGCTACATGCAGCCCCCTCCCAGAATATTAAGACCAACACATCGACTCCTACCTTTGGTGGAGGAGGGGAGGTGAAGCTGAGGGACAGGAGGAGGCGGGAGTCAGCTCCAGTCATTGGGATTGCAGATCTGGACCCGGCTCACCATGGGGGGTCCCACAGCCAGCATGTGAGAGGGGCACGCAGGGTGTCCAGAGGGTCCACACGGGCCCTGCTGACCAGCTGCCTCTCTGAAGACAGCACCTTGGAAGGGCTGGACCCTGTTGGAGATATCAACACACCCAAGGGGAGTCGCAGGAACTTCATAGAGCTGATGATGAGCAGTTCTCCTCAGGTAGGAAACTATTTGTCTAGCATGAAGAAAGCTTCCATGTAGATTGTTATTATAAGTCATAATTAAAGTGTGGCAGCTTGACAAAGCTCTCTACAGGGGGTAGCTGTTAAAACAATTAATAATTTAGGCATGGGAGAAAGTACGCTTACATATATTGAGATACAACAGAGAAATGCTCCTTTCATTTGTTTCAAATGTATTACGCGTATGGCCACACACCTAAAGCAGCTATGTCACATCCTGTGTTTCACCTTTGGGTGTGCTCCAAAACCTGAATGGTGCCCAGGTATAGAGAGATGGCATTGAGCAGGTTCCCCTGCCTTTGCTGCCACTGCTTAATTTGCAGCATTGCCAAAACCACAGTCTTTTATAGCTGATAGAAAACACCATATGGTGAGTAGCCAGACATGCAATATTCATGAAGTATGACTCTCCAGCAGCAGTTTTCTGTTTTATGTAACTGAGAGAGACGGTTATGTAATCTAGCTTGCCTTAACTCTTACGCTTGTTGATCTATGACCTCCTTTTCTGGGATCATCACGAGGCAATAATACAAAATGTAGCAAAACATTTGTTTATGGTCAAAAAGGTATTGTATTCTACTAACATCTGTTTGATACTTTACTGTGATGAGTTGTTCATTACCCTGCCATATGGTTTACTTTTGTAAAGCTTCCACAAATAACAATAAAGTATGTGGCTCTTTAAATGTTTTTAAGTGTTGTAAAACATTTATTTACAATGCCTTCGAGGTCCTGTGAAGAGCCAACTAGATAGTGGCAAAAAAGTTTCCAAAAGCCTTCTTTATATCACAAAAAAGCATTCTGCAGTGTTACAACTCTGAAGGATTCATATCTAAAGGTGACACAAATAATTGTATTTAGTATATGCACCCTTTAATTTCTATCGTCTTCCCTTTGCAGGTGCGGAGGTCTCTGATCAGTCGAGGTTCACGCATCCGGGACTCCATAAAGAGCGAAGGAGACTCTGCATCGATCCTCTCCTCAGTGTCAGACTGCGGCTCAGTGACCCTGGACCCTCTGGAGCACGAGTGGATGCTGTGCGCCTCTGACGGCCTGTGGGAGAGCCTGCAGCCCCTCCTCGCTGTGGAACCCAGCCTCGTCGCCAAGAGAGACTTTGTGACGGGCTTCACCTGCCTCCACTGGGTGGCGAAGCAGGGTAAAGCTGAGCTCCTCTCCCAGCTGCTGGGCTTCGCAAAGGAGAACTCAATACCTGTGAATGTAAACGTGAGATCAAGTGCTGGATACACACCGCTACACCTGGCAGCCATGCATGGACATACACAGGTGGGTTGTGTGGATCATGGTGGGGGTCATGGGGTGTCATGTTATACACATGTCTAGTGAAGCGGCATATGATTGTATGTGCTCTGTCTGCTAGTTGTACATACTGTAGATGGCTACAATCCATACCAAGTAAGGAAAAATAAACATAGAAATAGAATAGAAGACAGCTATCCCAATGTTGACATATTTGATTAACAATGAGTTTCATATGATATGTTTCACAGATGTACACACCAGTAAACCAAGTATCATCATTTCAGTATCTTAAAGGTCTCCTATCATGCAAAATGCAGTTTTTGATGCCTTATATACATACATGTTTGGTCCCGGTGTGTAAGGGAACTCACAAAGGGCCGGAAAACCAAACCCTCTCTTTTTTCCTCTCTAAAAACTAGAAACGTCGCTATCAGAAACAATGCGAGACGTGTTTTGGAAGTAATATGGTCTTTGTTTACATTAGCAAGCATCGCTAACACTCAGAGCTAACCTGTACTGTAGAGAGTATGTGTAAAAAAAGCAGGAAATAGAAAAAGGAACTCACCTTGTGGTAAACCCGCAAGAGAAAAAGCATTTGAGCTCCATACTGTTTCAGAAATAATCCTTGATGTGGTTTTTGGCGCTTAATCACGACAGCATATAGCTTTGTATCTTCCAGTAGAATTCTCCTTCATAAGCTCCCCCCCCCCTCCTTATTATAATTTTTTTCAAATGTTTTTTAAAGCTACTGACCCAGAATCAGCACTTCTGTAACAGGGCTGAAATAGAGGGGTATGAGGCATGGCTAGAATAAGAGATCTATTTGGTATTTTGAGCAAAACAGTTCATAGACATGTTTTTTATATATCTGAGACCTATAATATATGCCTAAAAATAGTATAATAGGAAGCCTTTAATATTCCCTCTTCTGTGTGTATTTAATGTGCTGTGATTGACAGGTGGTCCGTGTGTTGCTGTCAGACTGGGAGGCGGACCCTGAGGCTCGAGACTACAGCGGGAGGCGGGCCATCCAGTACTTGGCCCCGCCCATTGCCGCTGACCTGCAGCAGGAGGGAGTGGTGACCTCACCGGGTGCTGAGTCGGACAATGAAAACACTAACAAAGGTAACAGCGGAACACGTGGATGGCGGTTTCCCAGAGTCCTTCAGGGCAATCTGAACCCACTGCGGCTCCTGAACTCACCTGCTGAGGAGGAGGGGGCCGGGAACGGGAAGAACAAGGGGGGGATGCAGAGGAAGTCGTCTCTGAGCCGGCTGAACGCACGGCTGCACCGCGGACGCCACCGAGCCCAGATCATCCACAGCACCTCCTTCAGGGACACGGGGGAGGTGGGGAGGGGGGAGGAGCTCGCCAGCAGCCCCATCCGAACCCGCCCACTGTCCAACCTGTTTGGATAAAGTAACACAACTCTGAGATATAGTGCGTTGATTTACAAAATACAGTTTACTCACCTTTTATAAGCTGACAGGTCAGACCTTTCTAGACCAAATTAACCGCACACATACTAAGTTTTATTATTATAGTATTTTTATGTTTATCTAAAAATCTAACTTATTTTTGTTTTTATTGCAGTAATCAGGCCGAGGTTGATGATCACTGAGGGCAGGTGACAGTTTATGTAGCATTTGATTTGCTACAACAATTCATTGAGCAACTACTCTTTGAATTCCTTTTGAATTTTTTGGTTTTAGTTTTTCTTTTTCATTATTTCTTAGGCTCGGTTGAAGAGCAGGTAGCAAACATGAAACCATTTTTTGTACACTTTACACTAGAAAACTGTTCACACAAATGCAACAGGATTGTATCACGTTTTCACTTTAAGTTTGACTCCACATGGTGAGGGTTTTTGTTATAGCACTTAGGTTCGATTCAACACACTAATCCAAACTATTATTTAGTGTGCAGATGAAAGTAATATATTCATACAACACATTCCTATATTTCAACCTCTTTTGCCTGAGTGGTGCTGGTTTTTTAAAACACATTTCAAGAATGTGAATTTTTATTTTTAAGTACCAGATTTTAGTATTTGTAACCAGAGAACTCCAATGTATGTCCAAACTGCCATGTTCAGTCGTCGCGTTTGCACTCGTCACTTTGAAGATGGTTTGTGATTATGGGAGGAAACTGCTCAAACTAAACCAGATGTTATTGGTCTGATATCATGCTGATAGGTTCATATTGTACATGATAGAAAAGGGTGATCAAATGTTACACTTCTAGATTAATAATGCACTGTGTATATATATACACTACAATTTAATTTGTATTATACATTTCCGAACAGCTGATCAATAGTTTACATCAAAAGAAAGCTGCCATGGATTTACTTGGATCCAATTACTATGAAGACAATGATCAGTTACACTTTAGGACTGTTTCACTGGGTTAGCACATGATGTGGGTTTTCTACTGACTATAATGTACCTCAAATCCTCTGAGTCTGGTTAACTCATTGTTACATTGCTTCTTTGTGGGGGAGTTTAACAGTATGGGTGTTTAATAGAAGTTGACAGTGTTTTTTTGCAAATTCCCAATTCTTACCATTTACCATTTTCATCAGAAAGGATAATGTTTTGGAGCAATTCATGCAAAAAAAAGCATCAAACTAATCTGGTGAAAGGTTATTCAGGTCTTTTCATAGACAAACAGCATAGCACTGCTTAGTTTGACAGTAAATCCACAGTCAAACAAACTGATGCTTCTTTACCACTCTGGAGCAGATTTTATATTTAATAAGTAGCCTGTATCTTCCTCCTGTATTGCTCTGCATGTACACAATCATTCAATCATCAATCATGTCTGCATCATCTGTTGATAGTAAAGAGTTCAGACCAGTATATGCTGTACTGTATGTTAAGCTGAGGAGCACGTTGACTTTTTGACTGTTTTCCCAAATATGTGATCCTTTCATATATTTGATTATTCCTAGTCTTTAAGAATGTTCCCTTAGTATTTTGTAGCATTTGTACTCAAACCATGGGGCTTCATGTTACTATAATGCTGACTCTTTTTTTGTAGAAATGTATGTAGCCTACTTTGATGTCACTTTTTCAGATGCATGAATAGGGGAAAACATTATTCTGTGCACTGATCATTTGTATGTCTATACTGTAGGTCATTGTTCCGTCTTCTTTTTGAAATACTGTGAAGTTATTATGTGGTGTGAATACACTGTTACTGAGCCACTGTCATCTTGTCTTTATGTTTCATCCTTGAAAATGAAATAAAGCAGTACTGGTTTGCATAAAAGTCAGTGCTCTCCCTTTATGCTACTGTTGTTCCAATTTAACAAATACACATCATGTATAGGAACATGAAGTCAATGCTAATTCAACCAGTATTGGTCGTGACTCAAATTGAAGCAGGCTTTCTTGTTGCCAGTCCTGCTGGACACCAAGTGATTGTTGTTGTCTGCTGGTGCTGAATAATTGATGATCCGATGACCCCTGTGCCCCCATTTACAGTATATCCACTCCTTCCTGTCCGCAAGCTGCCCATGTGACACTACACACAATAATATTTGGAGCCGGTCCTCATTCTGCTGTGTGTGTGTGTGTGTGTGTGTGTGTGTGTGTGTGTGTGTGTGTGTGTGTGTGTGTGTGTGTGTGTGTGTGTGTGTGTGTGTGTGTGTGTGTGTGTGTGTGTGTGTGTGTGTGTGTGTGTGTGTGTGTGTGTGTGTGTGTGTGTGTGTGTGTGTGTGTGTGTGTGTGTGTGTGTGTGTGTGTGTGTGTGTGTGTGTGTGTGTGTGTGTGTGTGTGTGTGTGTGTGTGTGTGTGTGTGTGTGTGTGTTGTACCAAAGACGAAACACTTTTACAAGATTATTGAGCATTTATGTTGATCTGATCTTTGAGCCTGCACTGAACATGTTTCGGTTAAGAATGTATTTTTAAATGTAAATTCACAACCAAGTAAACTGCATTTAAGGTGTTTATCATTTTTATCATTACATTTGGCATATGAGTCTGACAGACGATGAGTAGCTTGTTTTTTTTCCTGTAAGCCACGTAGTTGAGCATGTTATCCCCCAGTATGTCATCGAGGATAAGAGGCAACAACAAGTATAAAATTGAGTAGTTCAATTATATTCATATGCTATCATGAAAGGGATGGTACATTTGTATTCAATGTACTGGACATAACAAATCTGCTCTGCTGGCACAGATGCGTTTCTTAGTCCCTAGTTCTACTTCATGTTTACCAGAACAAATCTGCCATATAAAAGCAGGATTACATGTATGCAGTCATTAAATTCAAATGGGTTGCTTGTGAAAAATGTAAAAGCTCTTGAGTCAGAGTCTGCTCTTTTGATGTTTTTTCTGATCTCTGGTATTGCTGTAGTCGACTCGTCAAACAAGATTCTTAGAAGTCACTGAAGGGATGAGCTTTTTCCCCGGGACGGTAGATTTCAGTCTATTTGCCTTAGGGCAGCCTATCTGTTAGATGACTGCTGATCTGGATGGAGCAGAGAGACTGTCTGACTGCAGCTACTGACCTACATACAAAGTGAAGGGAGTAATGCCTATTATGTAAATTCCTCTGCCATCTTTTCAGGGGAAACTGTGCCAACTTCTGAGCCTGGGGCCGTTCGCTGTTGGACTAATCCATGTCCAATCTATCCCCGTCTCTCACTTTCCCCTAACAGTCACCACAGCCATGATGACATGCATCGCCTAACTTGTGACTAAGTACAAAATAACCATCAAGTTGTAAACAAATGTTCACTGTCTGCCTGATTTTCTGTTCGCCTTGTGACATGCAGTGTCTACAAAAGTATTCATACTTGTCAGAGTTTTCATGATTTATTGTTTTACTTTACAACCCTGAAAAACTGTAACAAAATGATGATGCTAATCATCAGAGAGCCATTTAATGTCAAAGTGAGAACAAAATGTCTTCCAAGTAATGTGAATGAGTTATTTAAACTATATGAAATATTTGTTTGCATATGGGTTTTTTTATACGACAAAATGACACATTTGCCTCAAGGGGTTACAATAGGCTTACAGCAGTCATATTCAAGTAATGCAATCCATTGTTACCCATTGTTTACACACCATAAACACAGGTGATTTCAATTAAACTGATTAACTTTGATGCAACACATTGTCATGATTTTATTGCCATATATTATTTCCCTGATGTGTACTTTGCACATGTTCCACATGGAGTCGCTGTTCTGAAATAGCTCCACTATGATGCTGATACTCGTTGTTTCTTTGTACGGTCAAAGTTTACTGCATACGGAAGTGGCATGTAGTTTGTCTATGATTTTTCCATGGATGTATTATAGAACAGTCTTTTACATTACGATATCAGTACGTTTTTGTTTTTAGCCTTAAAGCTGACGGATGTTGGGCAAGAGGCGGTGAAACCTACTTTGATAACTGACGCTCTCCGGTGTTGTTCAGAAGGTGATTGTGTGGATAGTGTTACTTATGACTGTAAGCTAACTCGCCTGCAAAATACCGTTAGCTAGAAATAACACAAATTTAAGTTGTTTTTCTATTAACCTCTACAAGTTTCACTTGGCTATTCGTTTATCTCTTGTCCAACATGGTCAATACATTGTTATTATTAACGGCAGCTACCTAGCTAGTATATTGTGTGTCTCCCAGTGGGATGTAGCATAACGCTAGCGACAGTTAGCTTACAGCCTTTACATGTTAGCATACAACCAGCGTTTGTGTTGCGTTCAGTGGGTCAAACAAAGAATATTTTCCTAAGCTTGACATGAGCTAACACCACTATTGCTGTTAGTAACTATCCTAGCCACATAGCATGGTAGTTACGTTTTAGGCACATACTGTATTATATACAGGTTTAATGTTAGCTAAACAGTTGTTTAAAACGTGACGATTTGATTAGGCAAATCACTTAAGATAACGCTGACATAAAGAACTGTGATTATCTACCCTAAGAATATGTTAACCTCTGTATACAAAGAAATTAATTGTAAACTAAATGCCTAATATGACATTTAAGCGCTGCATTCTGACTTTGATGTGTACCTAATAAAATAAAAATAACCACCTGTGTGTTTTCCGATAAACATTGATTTTTTGAATGGAGTTTTGTTTGGAGAGCTCTCTGTTATTGTATTAGTATCAACTAGTCAGTGTGAACCATCATTTTTACATTTTAAATCACTGTCTCGCTTGATTTTATTTGTTACGTGAATACACTAAAAATAGTTAAGTCATTTATGATTATTTCAAGAGCATCTATGATGAGCTAACAGTGTTCACTGTCTCTCCATCTTCCTGCAGCTTTCTCCACTATGTCGGCCACAATGACCACCATTGTCCATGACACTACAGAGGCAGTGTGCCTCTCCTCCGAGTACAACCTGTACCTCAAGCCCATTGCTAAAATGACCGTCAGTGTGGCCCTGCCCCAGCTCAAGCTGCCAGGCAAGAGTATCTCCAACTGGGAGGTGATGGAGAGGGTGAAGGCCATGGTAGCTCCAGAGCAGTTTTCAGCCCTGCGGATCTCCAAGAGCACCATGGACTTCATCCGCTTTGAGGGCGAGGTGGAAAACAGGACAGTGGTCAAGAGCCTGTTGTCCCGCTTAGATGGAAAGAGCATCAAACTGAGTGGATTTACTGATGTACTGAAGGTAAGGCTGACATTATTGTTGACCACAAAGCCCATCTTGAAGCTTTGCTGGTTATGTTGCTGATCAGAGCGTCTGTTCCTCAAGGTTCAAGGTTCAAGGTTCTTTATTGTCAATCTGACATAGCTACAGAGTAATTATGCAGTTGAAAATCTTATGTCACAGGCTTCTCCAACAATGCAACATAATAACATAACATAATAACAATAAGAGCAAGAGCAATACAAAAATAATAATAGTTATAAAAATGAAATAAAGTTATGATGTGGAATAGTGCAGTATGAGTCTATATACAAGTTATTGGAATGATATATATATATTAGGTATTAGATACATACTACTGAGTAGCAGTTGAATGTTTGAAGTTGTTTCAACAGTTCAATTTTTAACAGTCTCACTGCCCGCGGGAAGAAACTGTCTCCGAATCTTCTTGTCCTTGCCCGGATGCTGCGGTAACGTCTGCCAGACGGCAACAGAAAGAACAGTTTGTGGCTGGGGTGATGGGGGTCTTTGATAATCCGTAGTGATTTCTTCCTGAGCCGCTGGGAGTAAAGGTCCTCCATGGATGGCAGCTCCGTCCTGGTGATGTGCTGTGCAGTTTTCACCACCCTCTGTAAAGCCTTACGATCGAGGTCGGTGCAGCTGCCGTACCAGGCCGTCATGCTGCCAGTGAGGATACTCTCTATCGTGCACCTGTAGAAGTTGCAGAGTATCCTGGTACTTACTTGGATATTTTGATGGCTGCAGATTTGGCGCATTTGAGTTACATTTTATTGTACCGACAGATGTTTTTTATATTTTTGCCCACGTCATTTATATCAATGACTAAATATAAGAAGTACTTCTCGGTATTATTACCAAAATGCCCATAAAATGTAATCAATGCCTCTCTAAAACGGCTTCAACTAAAATATAATCCTTCGCAGGGAGGTTTTCAGATATATTGAATTGTTCCTAATAAACTGTATATTGACCCTCCCCTCCCTCTTTCCTCAGGTTCGTGCAGTAGAGAACAAAGTGGACTTCCCTACACGTCACGACTGGGACTCCTTCTTCCGTGATGCAAAGGACATGAATGAGACTCTGCCGGGGGAGAGGCCTGACACCATCCACATGGAGGGAATTCCTTGCCGATGGTTTAGCAAGAAGGACAGCCCGTTCCCAGACCGGCCCTCTGAAGAGGTCCTCATTGCGGTCTTTGAGACATTTGGCAAGGTGGGAAATGTTTCTGGTTCTATGTTGAACAGGAACTTAACCTGAACATTGAAATCTACATTTTGTTATTTCTTTGTTTGAAATCAGGTGCTGTTCCACTAGGCTTCATGGAAAAAAGTTGTTTGACTAAAATAATATAACTCATTATAGATAGCTTTATTCACATACAGTACATGTAAATGATAGAGTTGCTGAACATATTTGATTGAGAATACTGACCAAATCAGTAAACGTCATGTGTTTTATATTGTTGCATCATCGATATTTAGAGGTTGAACCAAAAATAACATATTTGATTTTACCAATATGCCACTTTTTGATTCTAGGTGCGGAATGTAGATATCCCCATGCTAGACCCGTACAGGGAGGAGATGCTGGACAAGAACTTCAACACGTTCAGTTTCGGGGGTCATCTGAACTTTGAGGCTTATGTCCAGTACCAGGAGTACGGGGGCTTCACCAAGGCCATGGACACCCTGCGCAGCATGAAGCTGATGCTGAAAGGAGACGATGGGAAGGCCGTGGCCTGCAACATCAAGGTACTGCAGGCTCTCCTGGTTGTTAAGTACTGTACAAGAACATTATGCAGAAAGGGATGGTTATTTATCTTCTCAATTATTGATTTATTTTTGCAGTTTTGAGATAGTCAATATATCATACCTTAAATGCTTACTGTTTCTGAGCTTCGTGACCATGTGCACAAAATGAAGCTTGATTAAGTTATTTTAAATCCTAAATATGTTCATTACTATATCTAAAACTTATATTATTTTCTCAATGAAGCAAATGGGAAAACTTGAAGGGTTAGTTTGTTGGTCAGACATGCAAACACACTTGGTGACGAGAGATTACTTTGTAACATAAACAATGTCCATTTTGATTGTTAAGTTCTTATAACACAATGCTATTCTTGGTCTGAATGACCCACAGAGGCCTATCAGACTTCCACATACCTCTGTTTTGGCCACGAGTGAATTGTTAATGCTGTAGTGATATTGCATATAGGCAGATTTCAGCAATTAGATTGTGTTGTTCAGGGACACGCATAGCAGCTTTAAGACCTTTTAGTGGAATGAAAATCTAAGCCTCGTCATCATTTCAAGGGTAATGAGGGTATGGGGAGAGCCAGGTCTCTTAATCCACAGCATAACGCTTCACTGTGAAATCTAAATTAGGGTAAACAGCTTTTGCCAAAACACTTTATCTTACTTTTATTTAAAACAACAATGGCTCTCCATGCCTGATGATCAGTATTGTATAAGTCAGTTTTAACCAAAGCACTGTCATTGTGTAATTTAACATTACATTACATTACATGTCACTTGTTAGACGCTTTTATCCAAAGCGACTTACATACTCAATACTGTGGGCAATCCCCACAGGAGCAATTTGGGGTGAAGTGTCTTGCCCAGGGACACAACGACATGCTGACTGCCGTGGGGTTTGAACCTGTGACCCCCTGATCCGAACACCTACGGACAACCCACTACGCTACACGTCTCCTAACATGACATCATCAAGCTGTAAAATGTGGATTATCAGACTTACTCAAATTCATTTATTATTCCCATTCTCTACAATACTAAATTAGATTTTGCTTCACTGTCTGGGATGACCAAAGCAAAACACAGACACGTTACAGCAACTTTATTACAACTACAATAAAACATTGTAGCACACAGTGGAGTATTCTTAGAATAAAAAGTGATTTTTACAAGAAAATGTACATGTTTCACTTGCTGATGAATAAAATGAACCTTTTTGCTAATCCTTATCTGTGTGTATGTGTTTTCCTCAGGTGGCCTTTGACACCAACAAGCACCTGAGTGAGTTGGCCCTGAAGAGGAGGGGCCTGGAGAGGCTGAAGTTACAGGAGCTGGAGAGGCAGAGAGAAGAGCAGAAACGACGCGAGAAGGAAGAGGAGGAGCGGCGTAAGGATGAGGAGAGGTATGATGGAAGACACAAAACGAGCTTATATTGCACAACACAGAAAAGTGATGTAACTCTGTGATTTAGGGCAGCGAATGTTTATGCATTCTCTGAAACCAAACTATACTCAATCTGTTTTTTGGTGCTTTGAATTTTCCCCACACTGTACCAAGAGAAGTGACAATGCATTTCCACTGTTTGACCACAATTCATAGCAAACAGTTACCAGAGATACACGTACACGTTTATTTCTAAAGCTTTGTTGGGTAAACTCCCGTATTATATCTGCTCTCTGATAACACAGAGAGTTGCAAGCAGCTATTGTCTGAGATCGCATGATGTAGTATTGTTAGATGTGCCAAGAGCAAGGACTGTCTTAGGTAAGACAGCTTTTATGTGCGCAGCTCCACTTGCTTGGAACAATCTTCAGCAAGAATTGAAACTGAGCAATCTCATTCCTCTGCATGTTTTTAAAGCTAGGCTAAATGAAATGCTCGTTGATACTATGGGTACTTGTAAATGTCTATAACTATGTAAATGTATCCTGTAAATATAATGTATGATGTCCTTTATTGTTTTATGTTTCATGTGGAACCTATATGCTGCAGGTCTCCCTTGAAAAAGAGATCTATGATCTCAATAGGACCAATCTGGTTAAATAAAGGTTTGAAATGAAATGAAATGAGAGGTAACAGATGTTCACAGATGTTCACTTCATATTTTTTTACAGGAAACAGAAGGAGCACGAAGAGGAGGAGAAGGAGAGGAGAAAGGAAGAGAGGATACGAAAGCGAGATCAGAAGGTGCGGGAGAAGGAAGAGAAGAAGAACATGAAGAAGGTGAGGCGGCAACAGGAAGAGGAGCAGAAGAAGCTGCAGATGAAGATCGCCATGGAGGAGAGGAGGCTGCTGCTGGCTCAGCGCAATCTGGAGTCCATCCGGCTCATCGCTGAGCTGCTGGCCAGGGCCAAGGTACGTCATGCACAATACACCTCTGAATATACACACACATACATACAGAGCTATATGGATGTGTAATCATACCAATATCTAGGTTAATGTCTAATGTGATTCTTTAATCGTCTGGTCGGTTTTTAACTTAATTTGAACCAAATGTGAAGCTCTAGTAGGTTAAGATTTAGTGTTTGAAACCTCACTAGGCCTCATACATATTCAGAAACACTGAGTGCAACTTTTCTTTTTTAGTATTTCATTAAAGGGTGCTTATAGCCGCGTTCACACCGGAGTACTTTTCACCGTACTTTTCGCGTTTAGTTCCGTTAGTACCCCTTATGTCGCGTTCACACCAAAAAGAGCACTTAACCTCGGGAACTTTTACCCCCATTTTTAGTGCCTGCTAAGAGAGATGGTACTTTCCTGGGGGGGGAAAAGTGCCCCAGTTCTGATTGGCTGGGCGAATTGCAAAGCACGCCCCGTACAACTCTGAAATGTTTTGTAGAGCCGCCATTTTATTATCCTGGCATTAGCATTATTAGCATTAGCATTAGCCCAGCGCACAAACGCAGAGAGACTAACTTATGGCAACACAAAAGAAAACATGGGAGCGGTGGAGATGAGGAGGTGTCGGCGTTCTGTCGATTTACTCGGAAGTCCCCAACTCCGGGGACTTCCGGCCGGGGACTCCGGGTGGCAGTATACGCCGTGAAGTTGTTTGCGGCCTGCCAGTAAACCCAAAGCAGAAGAAGACGAAGTGACGTCAGCGGCTCATTTGCGTAATCTTCCCTCAGGGAAAAGTACTCCGGTGTGAACGCGATCTGTACTAAATGCCCTGGGGTAATAAGTGCCGGGGCACTGAGTGCCGGCACTAAATACGGCAAAGTACTTGGTGTGAACGCGCCTATTGATGCCAAGGCTGGCTTCCTTAAGCTGAAATTAACTCTACTCTCATATTTGTCAGTTAAATATGAAGACGACATTTAAAGATGTTTCTGCTCACGGCCAAGAATTCACTTGTGTTGATGTACGAATAAACAATTTAGATAAAACGTGTGATTCGTTGCCACTAGCTGGTTTTAATACCTTCTTGCAAATAACCAGATTTCACAAGAGTAGAACATTATAATAATTACAGATTGTGTGCTTTGCAGAAAATTACTTGTGTATGACAATTGGATGATGTAACATGTAGAGTAGTTTAGAGCAGTGCTTTGTCCCTTTGTGTCCGACCTAAATTTGGATTTCTGCTGACAATTGAGTTTTCTATTGTAATTGTGTCTTTTATCTCATTGTACCTATGTGGTTTCCTCCACCTCTCCAGGCGCTGAAGCAGCAGGAGCAGGAGAAAGAGCGGGCCGAGCGGGAGGAGCAGGAACGGAAAGAGCAGGCTCGACAGAAGGAGGAACTCGCGCGTCTTCATCAGCTGGAGGCCCTCCGACGCAAGCAGGAGGAGGAGCTGCGGAGGGTGGAGGTGGAGAAGGACCGAGCCCTGGAACTCCAGCGGCGTGAGAAGGAGCTGAGGGAGAGACTGGTCTGCAACATGATGAAGAAGAGCAACGGGAAAAGCTCAAGATCTCCTCTCACGCAGGAGGAGGCGGGCCCTGTGACCAGCGAGGAGGCCTCTGATCCCCGCGGCGATGATGTGATGCTGGGGGTCCTGAGCAGGGTGTATGGAGTGAAGGCCGGCGAGAGCAAAGAAAAGCAGGGGTCCAAATCGAGTGCCCATTCACATGTTTCAGGGAAAAAAAGAGCCGCAGAAGAGAGGAGGGGAGGGGAGGACAGGAAGAAAGAGCGAGAGAGAAGAAAGGACGAGGTGGTGGGGAGCAAGCACGGTAGGGAACAAGCGAAGGGCCACGAGCCCCCCCACAGAGAGAGGAGCTCCAACAGCCGGGGCCGGAGGAGGCGGAGCCACAGCAGCAGGAGGAGGAGGAGCTCCAGTCGTCACAAGAGGAGCTCCAGTCGGCACAGGAGGAGCGCCAGTCGCCACGGCAGCAGGAGGCGCAGCCACAGCAGCAGGAGCACCAGCTCCAGCCGGGACAGGAGCCGCAGCAGCAGTGGGAGGAGCTACAGCAGGGGGAAGAGCCACAGGCACCGTAGATACAGCAGAGGCAGCTCCAAGGCCAGCAACAGGAGCAGAGATAGGAGGAGCCACAGCCATAACAGATACAAGAGACACAGCAACAGCAGAGACAGGACCTGCTCCAGACGCTGCTAGTCCCGTCAGTGTTAATATTATCACTGTTCATTGATTTATTCTTGGCTGAAGTTCAACAAGCTTGACAAAAAAAAAACATTAAAAAAAAAACCCAACATAATTCGAGTATACCGTGTAAATGTAAGCCATGTCAATTGGTGAAGTGGATTCCACGGAAATGCTTTTACCTTTTTATTTTCTTCATATTTTATACATGAAACACCACATTTACTATTTGGTTTCTAAAAAAGTATTCTTTGTAAAGCTTGAAATACATTTTATCAACATTTGGACTCTTAACTTCTATATTATGTATAATGCTTTTAATTCAAATGTAGGGAACCATTATAAACATATCAATATTAATTTCATTGAGCATTGGAAATACATTCTTTTAATTAAAGGCTAATATCGTTAGCCCGCTGTATATGTAGATTGAACACCAGTCTGACCTCCATTTTCTGCGAGCAAGTGCATGAATATAATTGATTTCGAGGAAGTAACAAGTCCAGAGAACAAATTGTGTTCCTTATTTTGATGTGGTTCGATCAGTTTGTCCACATATTACTTGCGAAAATACACACACTTTCAGACCTCGTTGCTGCCATAGTTGTGGAAGACTTTAATGTGGACTACAGGCTGCTGCTCCTTTACAAATGTGAAGTTTCCCCAGACCATAAAAAATGTTCCTCGATGTTTACGCTGACCTACGTCTGCCTGATGTGTTAGCTGCCTGAAATATGTCTTGGAATACTGCTTGAGTATTGTCTGTGTTGCTGGTGAGCAGCTCAAAGACTGATTTATTTTAGTTTCATTTTATATTTTTTAATGTGTGAGGGTTAATATAATAAATGCGATATGATGACGCAACCAAATTAAATGATATGTTAGGATGTAACTCCTTCTTTTAACTTCACAATGTAGTGCTGGATACATTTATTAAACCTTAATAGTAACGGCAAACAGTGCATTTTTTTGGTGTTATTTGTATTGTTTTATGTCTTATATAACTATGTTGCAATGTTGGAGGAGCTCGGGACTTTTCATTGCCAGGCATTTCTACACTGTAGCTGACATTAAAGCCTTTGAATCTGAACCTCACACCGTTCTTTGCTATTTTTCAGCTCTGGGGAGGAAAGTCCCAACAGTTTTGTTGACGCTGCTACATTGACATTGTTACTCGACATTGCAAAGCCCTCTTGTTATGTGTACTATGTTCTCATGATCTACTAGAGCATGCGTTGCATACACATTGTTAATATTAAAGTCAAAAGAAAACTCGAGTTTTCTGCCTCTGTAACTTTGTACTTAAAAACTGTCACAACAGATCTTGGAAATGTTATCTCTATACAAACTAAATTCCTGAAGGAACATGGTGACAACTTCCACAACTCCAGCTGTTGTATCTTTCTGCCGTCTAAATTGCTAGTTTAATTAACTGTGAATGAATAATTAATACTCCATCTGATTAGCGTCTGTGTAATGTCATCAAGGCCTGTGACATGGCCGTCTGTGTCATTACTGTAGGTCTGAGGCCACCATTAGTCTCTCAGTGTAGGTGCAATCAGGCCATATGGAGAAGAGATGGAGAGCACATATTTTATAAAACACCGTTTCCCCCCCCCAGAGGTTTGGTAGTCCAGACGCTACAACCACATTTTGGTGTCAAAACACGTCTGGTATGAGCATTTCTGAGTGAAAGTCTCCATCCAAGTGAGTGTGAGTGATCATGAACAAGGCAGCAGTGTATTGCCAGAGTTATTTCTTTGTCCACTGCAGACTGAGCCCCTGCTCTAATCTGGGTTATCTGGCTGTAATCAGCTTAGCCTAACCATACTCTCACTGCTGGGTGGGCACTTTGTGTTGCTTTAGTCTGCTCCTGTCTTCACTGCATCCATACACACACCTGCTGAAGTGCCTCAGGAGCAGGACTGCTCAACAGGAGACGTTCACTTTGCATGTAGAAGAGATTTTTTAGATTGTTTTCAGGGAGTCCTGTCCAAACTGCAGCCATGGCAGAGAATCAAGAGGGGGCTTCATCTGAGGGGAAACCAGCTGCAGACATGTATCCTAAGAAGATCCTGGAGTATATGGAAGGATTCCTCATCTCCAAGGTAACACACACATGTAGTGCATACACACTGCCCTTCATGGGTCACAAACAGGGATGCTGCTCCCTTTTACTAAGTTTAAAGTTAATGACCCAAAGTGTCTCATCCTTTTCCTGAAGGTTAATGTCACACCAATATGATGTATTTTCATAAAAGCAAAAAAAAGTTTAATCAATAGGTCAATCAACAGAAATGTATTGTCAACATTCTTGAACAAAATCTTTAGACACAATTCTGAAGTTCCAGTTTTATTTTATTTTGGTTTTACAGAACAAAAGGAATATTAATTGCAGCCCTAATCTAATTGAGGCTTTGTCACCAACCACTAGTCAGTTTTCTGCATTTTTAAAAATAATTATATAAACTATAATGAATGGATGATGAAGCTTCATTTGAAAGATTCCAAGGTATTTCAGTAAATGGTAACTAGAGAAAAACAAGAGAAATAATTATAGTTAATTAATACAAAAGAACAATATGCTCAGCAGTCTTTTATTAAAAACATTACTGATGTACATCAAAATTGCAGCTAAACTCACTCTAACATGACAGTTAGAATGAATCTTTAATATTAAGTCTATAATCCTTTACTCTGCATGTTAGTGACCTGCATGTACACCTGAATGAAGCACCACAACAAATGATCACAATAAACACATGTGTGCTCAAGGAGATAATTGTTGCTGACAGACACTGCACTCTATTGATCATCTACTATGAATGAACTCCCCTTTAGCTGCGTCTCTCTCTGACTCAGACAGTGTTCTCCTCCTGTGAGCTGGGGGTGTTTGATGTGCTGCTGGCTGCAGAGCGCCCCCTGTCTGCAGAGGAGATCAGTCAGGCCATAGGAGCCAGTCTGGACGGCACAGAGAGGCTGCTGGCTGCCTGCGCCGGCCTGCAGCTCCTCAACACACACCGGGACAATGGACAAGGTCAGCACACACACACTCTTCAATAGTCTAACAACCTCTAAATAAGTTAAGTGGTCAAACTTTGAGTAATTACAATGATTATAAAAAGACGATTTGAAAAATAACCCTGGCAAAACTGTTTCCTCGCTCTTGTTTCACAGATGAATGGAGGTACATAATGGATTTGACTTAAAACAGTCAATCACCAGAATGTGTTATTTTTCTCTCTTGCTTTTCAAGGCTTCATTATTTATTTTATCATACGTGTTATACATTGTCAATTGCTCCCCCACCAACGTGCCCACCTCCCTATAATTGTCCTTGTCTCCAATGTGGACATAAAAGATCAAAACATCTGCACTGATTCAGCCCCCTCCTCCTCTCTCTCTCTTCTCCCACCTGTTTCAGTGTGCTACAGTAACACAGAGCAGGCCAGTGTGTACCTGACCCGCTCCAGTCCTGTGTCTCTCTACCAGTCCATCCAGTACAGCTCCAGAACCATCTACCTCTGCTGGCACTACCTGACCGACGCTGTCAGGTCACACATGTTTTTTTTTTTAAATTACAAGTTTTTCGTTTTAAGCTTTAAAATGTCATGAACAACCAAAAATGTTCAGTGTAAATTGCAATGTTACAAAATAGGAAATGCAAACATTTGAGAATATTAAACAATCAATCAATTTACATTTCTTGTCCCTCGTGTGGGGGATTGTCTTTGCTCCCTCTTGAGGTGCTTTGCCTTTCAGCTACTGTTGAAGAAATGTAGATATCTTCAAAAGGACCTGTCGAATTAAACATCTATTTGTATAAGAAAATCAGTTTTATATATAGGTAACAAAATGTAACTTGAGAACACACAATGCTGCAAGGGGAGTCGAGCAGAAAAAAACAAGAATCATATCAATGGGCTTTATAACTGCTTATAAAATACAAAGACATTGTTATTGTTAACAATTCCCAGGAATTTTGTTATTCAATTAAATCAGTAAGCTAAGATTAAAATCACACACAGGTAGGGCTGGGAGAACTGCATGTTGTAGGATGTAGTCCTCCTTCTCTGTTTGAACAGTGGCTTAAAATGGATTATATTCTCATTGGTATGTCTGAGGGTGGACAGACAGCAGCCCTTTGTGAGCAAAACTGAAAACAATTACCAGTTAATATGCTACTTAAGGAAGAAGACACCCTCTTCTGTGTGGGAATGTACCACTGAATCATGTGAATACCTTAAAATAGACCGCAAATTGATGTAAACATAGCATCTACCTGAACTGTGGAGATGAGATAAAGCTGAAGCAGAATTTAGAAATACCTATCCCACAATTTGTACACTCGAATTATAAACATATGTGTGAAAATATATAACATGTATCATGTTGTCATATGAATATGTTTGTCTTTTTTCCAGGGAGGGTAGAAACCAGTATGAAAAGGCTTTTGGAGTCAGCTCCAACGACCTGTTTCAAGCTCTCTACAGGTACAAAACACACACACACACACACACACACACACACACACACACACACACACACACACACACACACACACACACACACACACACACACACACACACACACACACACACACACACACACACACACACATTTTTGCTTATTTAAATTCCACTCCTTTCTCTCCATCGTAAGCCTGTCTGTCATCCTCTTCCCTCTGAAAAACCAACTGGTGGGCTTCATTAGGAGGCAGTGGGTGTGTGAGGGGGAGACAGAGAGACAGCAGAGGGTTTGGGCGGTGATGTGAGGGCTCTTGCAGCAGAGATATAGAATATCTCTCCCATTGTCCTTGAGGTCTCGTGTTTATGGTAACTAGTGCCCACAGTTTTAACGCTTCACTGATCTGCCGGTCAGCAGTTTTCAGGGGTCACACGCTCAAAGTTTCACACTTTGTTTGCTAATAGGTTTCGATGGGACCGCCCGAGGCACCGTACTGTAGAACACTGCTGCTCCCAGAGGATCAGAGGCCGTCAAAACTCAAACACAGTGCTAAAACATCCTCCCTCAGTATGATTTGCACAGCCATTTCACTTTGATAGTTGCTGATCTGATGCGCACAAATGGAGGATGAAACAGATGTTAAAACGCACATTTCCATTATTACTTTACTCATGAAGCAATGAAATGTACCAACACCAATGTGCAGATGTATGAATTAGCTTCGCACACCAATATCACAAATATTTCTCTTGATTTGTTTAGATTTTGTACATGTCATGCAAGTTATGTTTGTATGTAGCTGCTTGTTGAGGGTTCTACACAAGCTGAACTATCTCTGTAATTGATTCATTTTGGTCCTCATTTCCTTTTGAAAAGCAGCTGATGATCTCTCAAAAACAGCCTCTTTAACAAAGATGGATGCAAAATGAGAATATTCCAAATATGAACCGTGCACACATAATGTAATACACCCTCGTGTAGATGAATTTGCAATTTAACTTTAATTGATTGAAAAAGAAAATACCCTCGGAGAAAAACTCTAACACCTGCGCACAATTGATTTAATTTGGAGTAGCAGTTGTTTGTCCCCGCTGATTTCCCCTGTGAATACTGTGGGTAAATTAGCAAGAGGGAAACAACTGCTGAAGTCATTCACTGCGTTCTTAGAGAGCTGGAGCAGAGCACGAGGATCCGAAGCTGGCTGATGACTCAGACTCCTGTTTACTCATCGACATTTAGCCAGCCGTGTACTGCACCTGAATAATTCACAGCCCGGTCCCGTCTGCAGCTTCAACTCTCATACTCGAGAAAGCAGAGAAGATTGAAGTGAAGACTGGCAGCAGAGCTTTTGAGATTTCAAAAATATACAAGACATTGTATCTGAATATGTTCTACGGATGAAAACTTCTCATCGTTTTGTTCAAAGCAGGTTGATGTGTGACATGGATTTACATGTCATTTTATATATATATTTCTTTATTTCAAATAGTTTGAGGGGTTTGACAAGTGGTTGATATGCTTCACTTGATATGGTCATTACATTGTTCATCTTAAAGTCCATTAAAATAAGTCAAACTACAGCATAAAATAAAGAAGTAAACACATAGTGTAACACATGTAACCCATTAAATGATGAATGTTACATAGTTAATATTTTCATTCATTTAATCAATTAGCCTGATGCTGTGAAATGGACATATTGATGTATTCATTATCATATTATCATTATTACAATCAATGATAATAACAATGACTTTAACTGTACACAACCTTTCATGTGCTAAATGAAGCTCAAAGTGCTTATCGCAC